CCCCAAAACCCCAAAACCCCAAAACCCCAAAACCCCAGCTTAATCAAACCCCAGAATATATTAAAAAGTAACCAAGTGTCAAATATGGAGAAAGCAGGATTTTAAGCCAAAGAAGTAAAAATAAGAAATTTAGCCAAAATTTAAAAACCAACAATTATGTTAACTCCTCCAAGCTGGTTTTCTTCAAAAGCTTGTTCAGCTTTATTTTGGGTTACTCCGCAGTAAAAGGCAAATACTTTTCCAAGACTCAATCTTAAATCTGGAGAGCTTGCTAACCCTTGTACCAAGTTCTCGAACTCGTCGAAGTTGTTCTTCCAGTCACTTCTAGTCAAGTTTCCTGATCCTTGTAAATATATTTTCTGGATTTGGCAATTCTTCAGAGCCTTTGATAAATCAGGAACACTTGGGATAGATAGCCTGCAATATATCAATCTCAAAATTCTCACATGCTTGAAAGCTGCCACAAGCCTCTTGAGTTGGGGCAGGCCGATGCTGAAATCTCCAAATTCAACTTGTCGAACGACTTTGGAGCTGAGTCTGGTCAGGGAGTTTAAGTAGTTGCACCTTTTCAGATCCATTTGACCACTGGACCAAAATTCGAGAGCCTTAATTTTATTTGAGAATGAGGATTGTAAGAAATTTAAAACAAAACGCTTGTTTTTAGAATCAATATAACGCAAAACAAGGTAATCTATATCAAAAAGCTTAAGACACTTCAAACTTTTCAAAAGTTTGTCACCTCAGATTTCGTTAAACTCAATGCTAAGTATACTGTTTCCTGAATCTTCTACGGAGTCTGGATCCCTTGGCTCAATTTCTTCATCTGGACGAACCTTATAGAGGATGCTCTGGCATGTGGTGACCTCTTGCTCCTTGGCTTCTGCCAGGACAGACTTCTCTAGACTACGCAATTAGAGGCGGACGGGGAGGTAGATCAGTGTCAGAATCCGTCAGAAAGTTGGAGATGAAAGGGTGCTAATTTAGATTTTGAGAACTCCCAGGTTTAAGTCTTTAGGAGAAATGTTATCTGTGGAGGTCCCAAATAAATCTAAGAGAGGTCAGGCTTATAAACTCTTTCTAGTTTTGCTATGAACTTCTCGGTCAAGAAATTTTCGATGAAATTATTATAAAAGTTGAAAATTTTGGTTAAACTTTAAAGTTTTGGGACTTGTTACAAATTTGAGAGTGAAAATTTAAAGTATTCTAAAACTAAGCTCCCAGTTACCTGTGTTTTTTTTGAATAATTTCTTTTTTAGTAGCTGTAGCAAGACTTCCCATCTTATTATTATAAAAACTTAATTTAAATTTTATTTTTCAATATATCTGCAGAGAAGTGGGGTTTTGGGGTTTTGGGGTTTTGGGG